CAGGACCGAATTTTTGGTGGCAGCGGTGGGATCTGCCAAGGAAACCCCCTGAGAGGTGGGATCTGCCAAGGAAACCCCCTGAGAGGTGGGATACAACGAGGAAATTCCTCTGAGCGACGAAGAAATCCGTGACTCAATCAATGAAGACGCTGATCATTCTCTTCATGCTAACTGCTGGAGTCCATCTGTAAGTCACCAACTCTCACCTTATAACTTCAGTTGCTATAATCTATCACTAAAGTCAAAATTTGTCAAATTAACCTCAGAATTCAAAATTAACAAGAATGAATAACGATAATAATACGGTAGACGCGCTAACTCACCAAATCGGCAATCTGAACATGAACAATGACGAAAGACGACAAAATACCGACAAAACCCTACATTAGCCTACGAGATGCCGCCGAAACTATATTGCCATTTGACGGAAAAAACATGCCCGTATCACAATTTGCTAATAGCTGCATTCACGCAAAAAGTATGGTAGCCCCCACAGCAGAATACGGTTTAGTTCAGATGATTAAAAATAAGCTAATAGGACCAGCTTTACGAGTCGCCCTCAGCGAAGAATATAACGACATTGATTCTCTAATAAACACCTTGAAAGCGCGATTCGCACCAATTTATTCATCGCCACAATTATATGGTGAGCTATCAAAAATAGCACAACATCCGGAAGAATCTGTCTGTGATTATGGTAGTCGAGTTTCCACCATTCTGCATCAATTGAAAACCTGTTGCCAAGCAAACGGAGAACCAATAAATAATTTTACTGAAACTAACGCTGTAAAGAATTTTTTAACGGGACTCCAATCTGAAATTTATAACATATTAATTCTGCATGACTGTTCTAATCTGAATAACGCCATCGAAGCAGCAATAAAAGCGGAAGTTGAGCACAATGAATATCAGCAACGTATGCGTGTAACCCAAGGACTTATCTAGTCAATACGATGTAATACTTGCTTAGGCTATGGACACGACTCTCGTTCTTGTAGTACCATCGTTCTTGTAGAACCATCTGCACAAATAACTCATGTGCAATGGCAGCTAAAAATATGTACCTATTGCCGCAATCCAGGACATATACGTGCTAATTGCCGATCTTTGCAACAACTATCTCCGAGAATGTACCAAAACACAAATAATTACAACCGAACACAATTAAATAACCCGCGAAATAATTATCAAGGTCAAGGCACTTAATAATCAAATACCATCGCGTAGACTACAACACCCGGGATTATTCTGTCGTTACTGCAAGAATCCAGGCCATACCCTTGATCAATGCCGCAAGAGACAATATAATAATAATCAGAATTCCCAGAACCAACGTAATATAAATTCTCGAGGACAACCCAACGTACGAAATTCGGGAAACACAGAAAGGTCGCCACGGCAGGGCGTAGCTGTAAACGACCATGCTCGTGTGCGCCTCATAGAAACGATGAATCAAGAAAATCAAACGCAATTATAAAAACGCTTCACGAAAATGATAAACCAAGACAAACGCACGCAAACATAAGGATTATGAATAAAAAATGTAGCAAACCTCCCTGTATCGTCATACCAAGTCCAGATATACTAGAAGAACGCGGAAATTTTATGATTGACACTGGCTCTGATCTGAATCTAATAAAACGGTCAGTCTTGAAGGAAGAAGTAAAAATAGATACGCTACAGACTTTTGATTTAAGTGGAATAACAAAAGGTCGAACTCGCACGATAGGTATAGCAAAATTGCACCTCTTCAACGCCGAGATCCCTTTCCACGTCGTCCCTGATACTTTTCCGATCTTTCCCGACGGAATTCTAGGAACGGAATTCTTTCAAAGTCAGAAAGCTACGATAGACTATCTGAGGAAAAGCCTTATCGTAAATGGTATCCCTTACTTCTTTCATTATAACGAGATTGTGACCATTCCTGCACGCACGCGTAAACAAATATATATACGCATTGCAAACCCAGAGATCAAATACGGATACGTACCGAAATTGAATGCTGGACCGCAGGTTTATTTAGGTAATGCCGTCGTATCTAACCGAAACGGTAAAGGTCATTTGTACGTAATCAACACTTCAAACGAAGACATCGCATTAGCCATCCCTACTGTGAGCATACATCCCTTCCAAGAGAGCGATGACGACTCAAGAGAAACAGTCGAGACTTCCCTACTGAATGACTCTTATGAAGCAGTCGAGATTTCCTTGCCGAATGACTCCTGTGAAATAATCGAGACTTCCCTACCGAACGACTCCTGTTCTCACACATGAGTAGCGAGAATTATGCCGTTGTTACGACTTGACCACCTAAATAAAGAGGAGAAAGCAAACGTTATTAAACTAGTAACAAAGCACTCCGATAGATTCCACTTGCCAGAAGATCCTTTAGGAGCAACTAACGCCGCACAGCACAGAATCCATACTACTAATGATCTACCGATCAATGTAAAGCAATATCGCTATCCACAAGTTCACAAGGAAGAAATCCAACGTCAGATAGACGACATGTTAGAAAAAGGCATTATTGAAACTTCTAATTCTCCCTATAATTCACCATTATGGATAGTGCCGAAGAAAGACGATTCCCGAGGGAACAAACAATGGCGATTAGTAATCGATTTCCGAGCTCTTAACGAAAAAACTATAGGTGATGCATACCCATTGCCAAATATAGTAGACATTCTTGATCAATTAGGAAGCGCGAAATATTTCTCAGTATTTGACCTAGCATCAGGATTTCACCAAATACGCATGAATAAGGAAGACAAGCATAAAACCGCATTCTCAACTCCCTATGGACACTTCGAATACTCCCGCATGCCTTTTGGATTAAAAAACGCCCCCGCAACGTTTCAACGACTAATGGACCAAGTGCTTACTGGACTACAAGGAATAGAATTATTTGTTTACCTCGATGATATAGTACTATACGCAAGATCACTAGAAGAGCATGAAATAAAATTCGACAGACTAATGAAAAGATTAGCAGCAGCAAACCTATCCTTACAACCTGACAAATGCGAATTCTTGAAGAGAGAAGTTATTTATCTAGGACATGTAATAACAGAAAACGGAGTTAAACCTGACAATAAAAAGTTAGAAGCCGTAAAGAATTTTCCACTCCCGAAAACCCGAAAAAATATAAAACAATTTTTAGGACTTGCCGGTTATTACCGACGATTCATTGAAAACTTCTCAAATATCGCTAAACCACTTTCTGATTTAACTAAACAAACAAAACCATTTGATTGGGGACATAAACAACAAGAATCATTCGATACACTACGAAACGCTCTTTGCTCTGAGCCCATCCTACAATATCCAGACCACGATAAACCATTTATCATCACCACAGACGCATCAGGTTATGCTATTGGCGCAATACT